GTGAGAAGTTAAATCGTTCTAAAGCATTAGGACAAACGTGTGTGATAAGTGCTAACATGTAGTGGGACACTGCAGCTGTATGGGTGCTGTTGGAATATTGAAGGGGCAGGAGTGAGCCCACAATAGGTTGGAAATTTGAACTGAATGTTAAAAATTTTGTAGGCTCTTACTAGAGTGAGAAGGGAAATTTGCACTTCAGGGAATGAAACTACATAAGCAAAAGCAGAAGTATGATTTCCCTCCATTTCTTCAATAGTTAAAAAACAGTTCTTTGTTTAAGAGCTAGAATAAATATACTTTTTTCTTTGTGCTTCTTTTTTGGTAAGCAGTTAATAACTACCTTGTAAGATACTTGGAATTGATTGTAGCATTAAATTTATATGACTTTGTTTCTCCCTGTTGATACCCATTTTTATCATAGTATTAATTTTGAGTTTTCTTTCCTTCTTGGTTTCTTCTCTTTGATTTATCATTTATTACATCATTGCATGATTTAGAATCTGTTCTTAACACGTCTTTTAAAAAGTAGGAAATAGTGATTATTTCTTCTCTTCTTTGCAGAACAGGCCAAGACCTATAAAGATGAGGGCAATGATTACTTTAAAGAAAAAGACTATAAGAAAGCTGTGATTTCGTACACTGAAGGACTAAAGAAGAAATGTGCAGATCCTGATTTGAATGCTGTCCTTTATACCAACCGGGCAGCAGCACAGTACTATCTGGGTAATTTATTTCTTAATTAAAGAATTATGATAAAAGCCATTATGATGGCAAGAGGAAGGTTTGGAGTGTCAGAGAAAGAGGGATGTTTATCCCAGGAACCTGGACTATGTCTAGTTTACTCTAATTGAATTCTGATTTTCCATGTAGACATGATAAAAATGGAAACAGGATGGATTGTATAATTCTTACTATCTGAACCAAAAAAGTGACTTAGTCACAATGGCAAGATATTTGATGTATGAGTTGGTATGATCTGAGATTTTTGAGCCCAAATGCTTCTACTTTCTCAAAAGATGTTTCTTCTAGCCTTTTATCCTCTTCTCAAGGGTGCTAGAAAGATTAAGGCAGTAGAAATCTTTGGGTGAGAGAAACTATATTAATCTAAGGGAGAATTTCTCAAAGAGTATTCTGCGGGACCTTTGAAGTAAAAAATATTTCTTGGAGGAGAAAGTTTGGAAAATGTTGCTTCTTTGTTGGAGATTTTCAGTACACATTAGCATGCTAAAGGCACTGAGATAACCTATAACCCTGAGTTTCTCAAGTTTTGTAAGCCCCATTTTCAGGTAACACTAAAATTATATAGGGCTGTTCTACAGACAAGACTTTGGGAAATGCTGTTATTTCAGTAGTATTATTGCTGGTGACCAGTCTTGGTCATGTTAGACCCATGTTTCTTATCACAGAGTTTAAAAAGGACCTGGGAGTGACCTCAGGTATTTCTGAGGGGCTGGTATGCTGAAATTTCATGACATTGTGCCTTGGTATGGTCCTATATGTTGGGTATTTAATGGACCCCTTCAGTCTAGAAACTTGTGCTTCTGAGAAATTTTTGAATTATTTTGACATATTTTTTCCTCTCGGTTTCTTCTGTTTTCTCTTTTTGGAAATCCTGGCTGCTGGTGCTTTGGCAACCAAGTAGGGGAAGAGGGCCAAGGGCTCAAAATTTAGTATTTCTTTTACTGAATCACCACTGGTCCCAGTCCAGGGACCCACTGTTTTATGGTCTGCATAGAATAAACCTCCAATCTTCTGCCAAATAGGGGAGGAGTGGGTCCCTGCTGCAGCAGAGGGGTAAGGAATATGGGAATCTGACTACTTCTTAAGTAGATTTTCTTTTCTTTTCTTTTTTTTCCCTTTTTGTCTTTTTTCGTGACCGGTAACGGGATCGCACCCCTTGGTGTCGCGCCCGTACCGCGACCGGCAATGGAATTGCAACCCTCGGTGTCGCGCCCGCACCGCGCTCAACCAGTGAGCGGACCGGTCTCTATATGGGATCCGAACCCTCAGTGGGAGCGCCACCGCGCTCCCAAGCGCCGCACTCTACCGAGTGCGCCACCGGGCCGGCCCTTAAGTAGATTTTCAACCTACCTTCTCCACCACTTCCAGAAGTACTTGGTGCCATCAGTTCCTGAGTCCTGAGTACTTTATAATTTCTGCCGTTCAGCTTGGTAGCCTTTGGGCTTTCCCTCTACTGGCATAGAATTCAGTTTTCTCAAGCCTGATACATCAGTTAGTTCTTGTTCCTTCATTTTCTAGCTTTCAAAACGTGTCCTTCTCATTCTCTGTGTCTCTGTGAGTTTATGGCTTTTTGAGGGGAGGGAGGGGGTTGAGTTAAATGCATGTGTTCAATCTTATCACCTTTAATCGGAACTCCTTAGATCCCTTTTATATGCATTTTTTTTCCCCATAGTTGAGATCATGCTGTTCTTCCAATTTTGTATTCAGTTTTTTTCCACTTCATTTTATAACATAAGCAATTTCATCTGTCATTGAAAATTATTTGCGAATACTATTTTGATAGCTGCATAAGGTTGCATCATATGGACAAACCACTGTTTACATGATTGGCTTTACTATTCTACTTATTATTGAGTATATAGGCTGCTTTTAGGTTTTTTAAATAATACAAAAATGAACAAAGTTAATCATAAAGTTTTTCCAA